CTGCAAGCATCGCTGTCAACGATTACATACAAGGCTCGGAGGGGAGTTGCCCCTGCTTTTTGCAAACATAACTGTACCAGGCCCCAAGGGGAGCTGCCCCTGAATCTTGCAAACATAGCTGTGAACGTACAAAGCTCAAAGGGGAGCGGCCCCTGCGTTTTGCAAACATAGCCGCAGCGCCGGGCATAACGCCACCCAGGCGAGGCGCGCTGCCCCTGCCTTGACCAATGCCGCCGCAAACAACACGCGCAAAGGGGCGCTGCCCCTGCATTTGCTCGCATAGCCGCCGTATCAGACCGCTGGGTCAGCCGCCATATCAGACCGCTGGGTCAGCCGCCATATCAGACCGCTGGGTCAGCCGCCGCCGCCATATCAGACCGCTGGGTCAGCCGCCATATCAGACCGCCGGGTCAGTTGCCATATCGGACCGCTGGGTCAACTGCCATGTCGGGCCGCCGGGTCAACCGCCGCATGGGCTAGGGACGCTGCCCCTGCCTCTGCCGCAAACAGAGCTCAAAAGGGAACCACCCCTGCATTTGCTCGCACCGCCGCCGTATCAGGCCGCCGGGTATTCTGCCGCACGGGCGATTACGAAGGGGAATCGCCCCTGCCTCCGCTAGTACAACTGAATAAGCAGCATGGGCCAATCGCCCTGCCCGCCGGGTGCGCATAATGTGTGAGTGTGTGTGTGTAACGCACATACGCGTGTCTGCAATATGCCCTGCGCGGTCGTGACGGATTAATCCGTCGCACCTCGGGTAAAGTGTTAATCACTGAAAGTAAGACAAGGTCGCCAGCCCGCCAACACCGGCACTTACTGCCGGCTCGCCGTGGTATCTAAACAACAATGGCAACAGCGACGACAGCCGCAAGGAAAAAGATAACAGCTCGCCATGTCCAAACAAAGCCCCAAAACAGCAAAGTAGACCCCACATGCTGAGACTTGGTGTAATGCCGCCTAGTACGAGTAGGAAGGGGAGGGGAGCGACAGCACTTAGAGGCGAAGCAGGGTGAGGGATGGAGGAGAGGAGGATAAAGAGAGAGAGAGAGAGAGTATGTGTGTGTGTGTATGTATGTATGTGTATATGTATGTATGTATGTATGTATGTATGTATGTATGCGTGTGCGTGGGTGTGTGTGTGCTTGCGTGCTTACCCACGTGTGCTGAGAGAGATAGACTACACAGCGAATGAAAAAGGAGGCACGCATTGGTTGAGAAGAAGTTCAGCCGGTTTGCTGCCATGATTGGTTGCTCCCGCATAGCATGAGTTCGGGACTAAGCCGAGTCCAGCAGCTGGATTAGGGAGCCGATGAGAGGAAATGGACTAATCGTCCGCGTGAAAGAGCGTCCGCAGCGGAGTTGTCCGTGGCCGTAATATGGGTAGTCAGCGAGATAACGCCTTGTGTTCTGCTACCATGCGGGGGCTGAAGTGGGCTAGTTCCGTCACGGTTGGATTTCGGCAAGTCCCGGATTTCAGACTGCTCCAACTGCCTTTTTGCCGCCGTGCAGTATGAATTTCTTGTCGGACTACTTAGGGCCCCAGAGGGCGTAAGCTCGTGTTGCAAGGCGCGATGGTTCTGAAAGTCTGCCAGGCCTCGACCCAGTAGATTAGAGATTCAGTTTTTCTCTTGCCAGAAGAGGAGCCGCCAATGACAATTCCACTCAGTGATTGCCATCGGATTGATCGATTCTAACACGTTTGGCTGCTGGCTGCGTGTGGGCAGGACAGGAAGGAAGCATTGTGGCCAGCTCGAAGTATTCCGCACGCCGTATTGTCCTAATCGTCTCCCGTGCGCCAACACATGCGCCGGCCGGCATCATAGCGCCTCCAAGGAACTCAACTAAACTGGTCATGCACGACAGTGTCCATGCCTGCATTTTCGGCCGGCATGCTCATCGCCCGAGGCTTGTTGGTCAGGGCCGACGCTGCCGTCGCCGCGGTCTCAAACGAGGAATACCAGCGATCCGCTGCTGAGTAGGATCCATGCTCAGGTACGGGTATAAACCATGTAAACCAACTAGCTTTAGAGCAAACGAGAGCAAAAAAAAATTCTGGCCTTCTGCAAGCAATAGCAAGTAATGAGTGACGGCTGTGTAAAGTCGCACAACCATGCAGTCGACCGGATGATGGTGAGTGTCCGGCACACATCTTGCTCTGCTGCTCCACCTGCGCATACCTGATACGGTGGTGCTACGGGCGGGCTGCCTGGGCCCCAGATGCCTCCTTGATGCGCCGCGGAGTGCCGTCGAAGCACCTGTATCACTTCGCGAATGACTGTTGGGACATTCTTCCAAAACATGACGTCACAGAATTCGTAAAAAAAAGACAACTTTTGTCGCAAGCGGCTAGCCTGTCGCGCTCGCGAGACTCATCTTGGGCGCGCTCGAGCTGCGAAGCGCGACACACGAGCGCGACCCAAACTGTGTCACGTGTGTGTCGAATCTGACCGTGATCGCCTTCGATTATTTATTTTCGTTCTACTCGACAATTCCAAAAATCAGTGCCATTGGCTTTAGCTTTGCCCTTGAACTTGAAATCTCGTGCCTTATTCTTTCTTGGGGACTGGTGTTGGATATTGAACGGGCGGAGTTACCGCCGTGATCAGTGATGGATGAAGGAGATGATGGCCTAATCTTGGCTGCGCGCATTCTCATTTTCGCGTGGCCTGCCACTAGTGTTTGATTCACGAAGGGTGTCACAGGCATAGCTGGAGGAAGAAAGGTGATGTGAACTTCAGAAGTTCTGCCATCGCAGCACTGTATAGAGGGCCATTAGAGGCTGTGTAGGCTGTATGTAGCATTGTTTGATTTAGCTCAGTGCTGAGCTTGCACCACACCACAGGTAGCATATTGAGTATTATTTTAACGTTATCCATATTACTTGAACCGCTCTGTGAGCGGTTCTGAAAAACCTTTACTGGCGCTGCCCCGTCGTAAAAGTAAGAAATTAAAACTGGCTCATTGTACCCCCAAATGTGAACTGCCGGATCCACCTAAATCGCAAATGACGTGACCCGAACGCAGCAGTAGCACGAGGGTGCACTTCTGGTGTGCCGCACGGCTCTGTTCTAGGACCCATGCTGTTCTCCATATACACCAGAGATGTCCCCTCGGAATCTTCGCCGGCATCATCACTGCAGTTTGCGGATGACATCGCCCTGGCATGTGCAAGACGGACAGCGCAAGAGGTGTCTGATGCGCTCAGCTTGGCGGTTACCTCCCTCTCAAGTTGGCTGGACGCTCGTGGTCTTGTATTAAATGCAAAGAAGAGCAATGTATTGGTTTTTACCAGCAGCAGTGGGCAGCAGCCGGACGTGGTTGTACGCTGTCGAAATGATGTCCTTCCGCACACCACCAGCGCGAAATACCTCGGCGTCTTAATCGATGAACGAATGGCCTGGCAACCGCAAGTTGACCGGTGCATCTCACGCACTGCTAGGAAGATCGGTAGTCTGTGGCGGGCGCGACGCTGCCTCGCTCTAGCTAGTCGAAGCAAGTACTTCCTATCGGTGATCATGCAGGATTTGATATATGGATCGTCAGCATATGGCTCCGGCTTGACCCACAACCAGCTAAACCGCTTGCAGGTGGCCCAAAACCGCGCAGCAAGGGCGGTGTTCGAACGACCACGATTTACCAGGGCCAGTGATCTCTTGGAGAGGCTCTCTGTTTATCGCATGGACGAGGTATATCGCCAGAAACTGCTCGTGCTGGTATGGCAGTGCGTTCATAACCGTGCCAGTCCTGCTCTGCAGGCACTGTTTGTTCGCAACTGCGGAGCAACTCGCCTTCAGCGCAGTCTGGGCCTACAACGACCAATAGCCAGAAGCCGAGCAGGCCAATGCCGACTGGCATCTCACGGTTGCCTGTTATGGAACCATAATTTTATACAGCTGTACCTGACACGGTGCGAGCCATGGGTAACATCCCAGCATTCCGCCGAGCTGCCATTCCCTACACGTACGTCGTTGTAGACTGCTACACAGTTGGCCATACCATGGTATTCAGTACCCACAAACTTTGCAAAGCCGATAATGTGATAATGTACCGTGGTGCATGCACCGATGGTACCACCACTTCGTAGACTGCCTCCCATTCATTTCTGTGCTCCTGTCTTTATTCTCGTCAGCTGTGTACTTCAGCAGTTCAATTCTGTGCTCCAGTCCTCTTTATTCTCGTGAGTTGTGTACTCGTTTTGCTGTTTGTCTGGTTTATTTGAATTCGCACAGTAAATGTGTACTTCAGTTATTCTCTCCTCCCTCTTCTGAGTTTGACTCTCCGCTGGCCTTCTCTCCTCCCATCCCCTTACATCGTATTGGGCCTCCGCACACACTACATTGTCACATAGCACAACTCAACCATTCGCTACCCTGTTATTGAGCACTCCTGCTCGTTTGGTCTCGCAAATCCAAATAAAATCAATCAATCAATCAGGTTCCTACCTGTGGATGCAGCTGGGGACCGGCTGGTCCACAGGCCATGGTCGTCGATGAACTCCCATGTTGGATATCCGATGGAAGTAACTATGTGTACTAGCAAAGTTACACTGCCACTGATACCATGTACTAGTGATGGTGTTACCCTATGATGTGCTGTGATCCTGTGCCCTCCCGACCTCGTGCTACTGGTGCGTTCGGGTCCCGTCATTCCCGATTTAGGTTGATCAGTTCACATTTGGGAGGACAATGGGCCAGTTTTAATTTCTTACTTTTACGACGGGGCAGCGCCAGTAACGGTTTTTCAGAACCGCTCACAGAGCGATTTTTATATGGATAATTTCAGTTTTTTTTCCGTTCCCTCCCCACCCCAACCCCGAAGGTAAACATGATGAACACGCGCGCAATGTACTGTATGTAGGCATGAGACTGCGATAACACACTGATACATACCAGCCCTCCCCACCTCGCTTACCCCGCACACAGATACACAAACACGCGGATGCACACGGTACATGCACACATACGCACATGCACACGACACAAACAGGAAATTCTTCATGTAAAATGCCATGCAAAGCAGTGGCCACCGTACTTTTAAAAGGAAGTCAGTTGTGGAACAAAATAATTCAACTACAACGTGTAGACAAGCTGACGGCCAAAGCACAACATAGCAAACATGACATTTGCCCAAGGATTGCAGTTTGCAGACCACGCCATGGAAGCAGCGAATACAGAATGTAATATCATACAAAGTGACAAGCAAAGAAGTGGCCACCATACACCAGAAACTTGCAGAAAGTCACATATCCAACAGATGGAAAAGTGAACAGCAATCTGGTACAGCCCACACAAGACAAAGCTGACCTGATACTTGTCCCAGGATCGCAAGTGGCAGATCCTTTTCAATGCATAACATGCAGGTGTACGTTACACGCATGGACAAAATCTGACCGTGTCGCCAGCATACAATGTCATCACATAATATACCCCACAAGTTACACACATGCACAGTAGAAGCACAATGAAAGCAATGGAAAAGTACGATGTGGTTGCTGAAGCATCTTCGCACTTCAAATTCAGACTTAAATGTGGTCGTCACGAGATGATATACCTGCAAGATACAAGATAGAAATGGCGGCGGCCGCGGCGATTGCAGCCTTGCGACGCCGCATTCTGGGACTAGCGGAGGACGGGCTGTCGGAAACGTGCGCTTTCTCAACGCGTGTGGACTTTGCCGGGGTGGCGTCGGCAACAGGTGGCTCTGGTGTTGCAACGCTCTCGGTCTCACACTTCGCATCACTCGGCTCGGTAGCATCAGCAGTAGTTGAAGCAGTGTGGGAAGTATCGCTCTCTTCTTTCTCCTTGCCGCTAGTACTTGTGTCCATGGCAGTGTCAATGGTGGTGTCCATTGCAATGTCGATGGTGTTGTCCACAGTATCTATGGCGTCCATGACGATGGTGTCCATGACGATGGTGCCAGTGGGTGTGATGGTGGTACTGTCATCAGGCTTGTACCCGTGAAACTGTTCCAGGTAGTAACGCAGAGAGTGCGCGTACTTGTCCAGTGCGTACCACATGAGCTGCGTGAAGAAGGGAAAGCGGAACTTCTGCGGAACCTGCATGATAAGACACGAAGGGAGTCATAGTGGAACAAAGTGAAGTATACGGAGATGGAGAGAGAGAGAGAGAGATGGAGAGAGAGAGAGAGAGAGAGAGAGATAGAGAGAAGTAGATCGATAGACAGACACCCATCGTCCATCTATATACTGTGTACATGTGTGTGACACAAAAACAGACAAACAGACAGGGAATGCTGACCTTTCCACAATTGAGAATGTGATACCAGACGGATGTGCCACCAAAGTCGATACGGAAATCTGTGTAGCAGCCACCGACGCTCATCAGGCAGTACCTGTGACAGCACGGCATCACCACAAGCAACAGCAGTAGACCAGCAACAACAACAGCAGCTCCATCAGTAAGCCAGCAACAACAACAGCAGCTCCATCAGTAAGCCAGCAACAGCAACAGCACAAGTAACAGCAGTAGACCAGCAACAGCAACAGCCACAGTCAGTAAGCCAACAACAACAGTAGACCAGCAACAGCAGCGCCAGCACAACCGGCACCAGCAGTAGGGCAGCCAGGAACAGCAACAGCAGCACAATCAGTAAGCCAACAACAGCAGCAGCACCACAAGCACCAGCAATAGGGCAGCTACACCTGTAGTACTACAGTCGACCTACCCTTATAACGATAACCTCTATAACGATATTACCCTTATAACGATATTTTTCTGCCAAACCAAATCACTCCATTGACTTTTGTATACGTTGCCTTACCTCTATAACAATATTGCTATAACGATATTACCCCTATAACGATATAAAATGGGCTGATCAATCGACATTTCCCATTTCATAACAATATCTAGAGGGAATATGTAGAGCCTACTATCCAGGTAGGGCAAGCTTCACTTGATAAGTCGCTGGGACATGACGAAATGCAATGGAGGCACCAGTGGGCACCTTGCTGTGTACATAATGTGCGCATGTACATGTACGTCAGTTATTTATGCTATGAAGAGTGTAAAAAATGAACAAAACTCATGCATTATGACGTATGTGTATGAAATGAACCAGTTACCCCTATAACAATATTACCCTTATAACAATATTTCTTGGTGTGACGCAAATATCGTTATAAGGGTAGGTCCACTGTATCAACAGCACCAGCAGTCGGCCAGTAACAGCAACACCGGCGGCAGCAGCAGCACCATCAACAAGAACAAACAAAACACATACTTTTGCACTTTGGGATATTTCATGTCGACCAGTCGGTTGGTGGCCTCCTGCTGCAAAGCGCGCAATGTTTCCGGCCACACCAAGTCCACTCCATCCATATGACGTACCTGCGTGCAGCAGCAACAACAACAACAACAACAACAACAACAACAACAACAACAACAACAGCAACAGCAGCCACAGCAAGCAAGCAGTAGGAAGAAGAAAAGACAAATGAGCAATTTGTACACGGTTGCGAATACATACTATACAGCTTGTGATGGGGCATTGATAAACCAATACAGTCAGACCTCGCATAACCGCACACATCCGTTTTCGACAAAAATATCCGGATAGGCAAGGGAACCGGATAATCGAACACACATACTGTATGTATGCATGGCATATGCTGTAAATCGGCAACCAACAATTTTCTTCCGGATGGCGAGGGATGCGGATAAAAGAGGACGGGATAAGCGAGGTCTGACTGTATAAACACATTGCACAAACCAATCAGGAGTTAAAAATCCATACTTTCTCAAAACGAGCCTAAGCATGATCATGTATGACATGAGCCTCAAACGCCCACCAAACCCCCCAACACGGTATACAGGGGAGACAGTAGTGCAGTGGAGTGCTCAACTACAGTGCACTCACTTCTCACGACTCCTATCCGGACCTCCAAGTTACGGGCATCTTGGTCTACGGGGAACCCCAGACACCACTCGCTGCTATATCCAGCCTAGCCTGGGGGTCCGTTATGGCAGAGCGGTAGCGGAATGCTTCCCCAGTTACCGGCTGCAGGTGTGGTTCAGTGGTGACGTTGTTGGCGACCCGTTTGAGGAGACCAGCCGTAACATCTCGTACCTCGTTGTGCCTCAGTGAGGGAAACCCACCCAGAGAGCACGACAAGGCGTGGGCGACGGTGAACGATGCACCACACGGGCAGATCGATGGAAGGTGGGCTGGCGGCCAGCCATAGCGGAGAGCAAGGCCATCCCGGAACTCACCCTTCGAGAGGGCAAAGCCATGGGCCTTCAGGGGTCTACAGGTCAGCCAAGCCGACGCACCCTTCTCCGCCGCCAGACCGACACAGAGCTGGATATCAGTGTTCTGCGTCAGGATGAACTCTTTGGCTGCTTGGGCCGTTGAAGTGCGGGTACGACTTGCCACCTCCCTCTTAGTGGACCGTACCAGGTCCAGCACATGGCCAATCTGGGTGTCCTGGTCCAGAATCTTGCGGACGAGCGCCGAGGTTATCGCTGCCGATGCCCGGAACTGGTCGCCCAAGGTGGTGGGGTCGACTAAGCCGAGGCCTCCTTCACGGCATGGGAAAGCAAGGACCCTTCGCTCACGTGAGTTTACTGGCTTACCGCACAGGGCAGGAATAAGGACATTGGTGATGGTGTCTTCCAGAGGGCCAAGATTTTCAGCAGCACACTCCATGACTCTGCACAGGAAGGACCAGCGATGCTTCAGGCCTTGCGTGAATGCTGCATAGGCAGCCTGTGGCTGGGTTTCGGCAATCTTGGCCAAGGACACGATCTCGTCTTTCCACCCGTTTGCCTTCTGGGAAACATAGCTCTGGACGAACTCCGTCGATCCGAGTGCAGCACCTAGAAACCGGTGGCCGTCGGTGGTAATGTGCACACCGGTCCCTGCAAAGGCGTCCTCAGCTCTGGACGAACTCCGTCGATCCGAGTGCAGCACCTAGAAACCGGTGGCCGTCGGTGGTAATGTGCACACCGGTCCCTGCAAAGGCGTCCTCAGCTTCCGTCAGGTGACCGGCCTTGACAACCAGGACTGATTTCTCAGCATTTGCTGCGTACCCATATGCCGGTCCTTTCTGTCGCAGAATATCCCACCAAGCGCGTAGTCGTTGGACTCTGCCGCCCGCGGAGGAGTCGTCTGCAAACCACATCTGGATCGTTCCCTCAGCCGAGAGAGCACGAATGAAGACAGTCAGTTATAGGCGTTTCACACGACAGCCACTTGCCATTTTACGGCGAGTGATTTACGAGAAAATTGACTGTGTGGATTCACATGGCTGCACTCAACAGCGGGCACGTTTGCATTTTTGAATGATTCACCCACCAGTTGCCATGGGTATTTCAAATTTTCAAAACACGGGTACAATAATTATCATGGTGAAAAGAGCCGCGTAAAAAATCAAGTCTTGTTTTGCGCTTTTTGGTGTAAATACAGTTTACTGCTTGCCGCAGAGGGGCTGAGGGCTACACCCACAGGACACTTCTGATCATAACTCACTAGACCTAGTCTTTCTTAAACTTGCATTCAGTTCCGGCGGGGACAATACCCCGACACACGACCAACAAAATCTCTAACTGTCTTTGATGCCATCAGAATATCTATGCAAACACAGCCTAACGGACAAAGTCAAACAAGCCGTGACCTGATGTTGACACAGCCTGGTCAGTATGGAGCTTGCATGTCGAGTCTGCAGTTAAGGAATTCATACCTCAAAAGTTGAAGCGAAATAACCTGAACAATAAACTGTGGTATAATGCGGGAAAATCAATAAATTACAAAAATGTCACATTTGGAAATTTTATTGGGTGGTCATCCCGTTTGACTGTGCGAAGTAAAATTAAAACAACCAAATGGTTGGGTTGATCTGCACTGTGCAACCGATTCTCTCACCTTTCTTCCTCCAGCTATGCCTGTGACACCCTTTGTGAATCTGCGAAACACTAGTGGCAGGCCACGCGAAAATGAGAATGCGCGCAGCCAAGTTTAGGCCATCATCTCCTTCATCCAACATCCCGGCGGTAACTCCGCCCGTTCAATATCCAACACCAGTCCCCAGGAAAGAATAAGGCACGAGATTTCAAGTTCAAGGGCAAAGCTAAAGCCAATGGCACTGATTTTTGGAATTGTCGAGTAGAACGACAATTGGTGTGCGGAAGGACATCATTTCGACAGCGTACAACCACGTCCGGCTGCTGCCCACTGCTGCTGGTAAAAACCAATACATTGCTCTTCTTTGCATTTAATACAAGACCACGAGCGTCCAGCCAACTTGAGAGGGAGGTAACCGCCAAGCTGAGCGCATCAGACACCTCTTGCGCTGTCCGTCTTGCACATGCCAGGGCGATGTCATCCGCAAACTGCAGTGATGATGCCGGCGAAGATTCCGAGGGGACATCTCTGGTGTATATGGAGAACAGCATGGGTCCTAGAACAGAGCCGTGCGGCACACCAGAAGTGCACCCTCGTGCTACTGCTGCGTTCGGGTCACGTCATTTGCGATTTAGGTGGATCCGGCAGTTCACATTTGGGGGTACAATGAGCCAGTTTTAATTTCTTACTTTTACGACGGGGCAGCGCCAGTAAAGGTTTTTCAGAACCGCTCACAGAGCGGTTCAAGTAATATGGATAACGTTAAAATAATACTCAATATGCTACCTGTGGTGTGGTGCAAGCTCAGCACTGAGCTAAATCAAACAATGCTACATACAGCCTACACAGCCTCTAATGGCCCTCTATACAGTGCTGCGATGGCAGAACTTCTGAAGTTCACATCACCTTTCTTCCTCCAGCTATGCCTGTGACACCCTTCGTGAATCAAACACTAGTGGCAGGCCACGCGAAAATGAGAATGCGCGCAGCCAAGATTAGGCCATCATCTCCTTCATCCATCACTGATCACGGCGGTAACTCCGCCCGTTCAATATCCAACACCAGTCCCCAAGAAAGAATAAGGCACGAGATTTCAAGTTCAAGGGCAAAGCTAAAGCCAATGGCACTGATTTTTGGAATTGTCGAGTAGAACGAAAATAAATAATCGAAGGCGATCACGGTCAGATTCGACACACACGTGACACAGTTTGGGTCGCGCTCGTGTGTCGCGCTTCGCAGCTCGAGCGCGCCCAAGATTATTATTATTATTATTATAGACAACACCTCATGGCATGAGAAGAAAATCAGCCAGTACGGGAGATGTGGGTGTTAACCAACCATGGTGAATAAAAGAAGAAAAGTAATGGTCAAGACGGAGAAGCATGGGAGGGACAGGTGATGGTGAATCTAGTGAGCAGATTTAAATGCGTCCAGGGTACTGGCATTGCGCGTAGTAGCGGGCAGCGCAAGCCAAGCAGAGTAAGCAACAAAGAGTGGAGAGCGTACAAGGGAGGACGTTTTAGCCAAGGGGAGGGCAACAGAGCATCTTGTCTGGGAGCCATCTGTGATTCGGAACCAGTTATACACGTTAAGATGAGGAGGATGTAGAGCTAGTTTAAATTTGTGAGCAAAAGTGCAAATTAATTTTTGACGGTGGGTCGACAGTGGGCAAGCATTTGCAAGGACATACAGGGAAGCAGAAGAGTAGAGAGGGGGTAGACTAAACAGGATACGAAGAAGTTTTCTATGGTGGATTTCGAGATGCTCAGCGAGAACCGAGGACAAGCCACACCAGCTAACAGCAGCGTACATGAAAAGAGGCAGGATGTACAGTTTGTAAAACAAAATTTTACATTTGAAAGGAAGATGGAAACAATGGGGACGTATAACACCTAGGGCAGAGCTTGAACGGCTGCAAAGAGCATCAATATGGAAAGACCAAGAGAGACGATCATCAAGCATTATTCCCAGGTGTTTATGGTTGGAAACAACCTTTATGGGTTCTGGGAAATCAGGATGGTGTAAAAGTGACATGGATGAGATTGGGGGAAGGAACATTATTTCGGTTTTAGTCAGGTTGGGTCTAAGTCGCCATGTTTGCATCCAGCGTAGGACACTGCATATCTGAGCCGACACTCGAGGTACAAGAGCCGCTGGGGACGAGGATGCTGACAGTAGGGTTGTATCATCAGCAAATAACGAGACACCTGGGTCTATAGAGGGTAAATCATTTACGTATGCTACGAACAAAAGAGGTCCAAGTATGGAGCCTTGGGGAACTCCAGAAGACACTGGTAGAGGATCAGAGTTGATGGAGAGGGCAGAAACAAACTGTGATCGGCTACTCAGATAGGACTCCAGCCAGGACAGAGCAGGGCCAGACACACCAAAGACAATATGTAGCTTGGCAAGGAGGCCACGATGCCAGACAGTATCAAAGGCCTTTGCCAAGTCAAAGAAACAGAGAGCAATATGGTGTCGAGCATCACGAAGGGTGGCAATGTCTTGTACTAGACGAGCTAGTTGGTCAGAGGTTGAGTCGTTGCGCCGAAAGCCAGATTGGGAAGGGCTAAGGCATGGTGAAATGTGGCAATACAACTGGTCGTAAAATACCTTTTCACATACTTTTGAAAGGGAGCAGAGAAGAGATATTGGACGATAGTTTGAGGCTTGTGATCGGGAGCCTTTACACTTGTAGATGGGCGTGACCTTAGCGATCTTCCAACGATCAGGAAATACGCCTGAGGAGTAGGAAAGGTTGAATATAAGGCACAGTGGGTACGCCAGAGATGGAGCCAGAACTTTGAGAACTTCATTTGGTAGGGCATCAGGACCAGGGCTTTTGTTGCTTTTTAGTCTTTTTAGGTAGCTGCGAACAGATGATGTGGTGGTATGTATAGAGCGCAGATCAGAAGACACAGTCGCAGAACGCTGCAGAGGTGGTATTGGAGAGGAATGGTCGTCTGGAATACCAGCTGATGTGAATTGCGTATTGAGAGTATTAGCTATAGACTTGGGGTCAGTCACCATCGAACCATTGGAAGCTAATAACGGTGGTATGTCTTGACGTGTACTAGTTGTCCTTTGAGTGCGAACAAAGGTATACAGGTTAGGCCTGGAAGAGGGGTGAGATAGGGTGGTAGTGAGCGAACGTAAATATGCTCGATACTTAGAACGTGACAATGACTTCACCAGATTGCGCTGTTTTTTGTATAAAGAAATATTAGCATAGGTGGAGTACTTCTTACTTAAGCTATAGTAGTCGTATTTGAGTTTAATTGCACCTTGGAGATCTTTGTCGAGCCAAGGGATCTTGGGGTTACGGCTGGACTGACGAGGGTGGTGGCTGCCATGTTTGGGTGTAGCGGGTCTTGCTCCGTATTGTGGCACATAGAAGGAGAGCACGTCATCAAGAACTGTGGTGAACTTCTCCACAGCTTCATCAACAGTAGTGGAGGTGAATAAAAGATGCCAGTCACAGGCAAAAAGTGCAGAGTTGATGATTGACCAAGTGGAGGGTGTAACCTTGCGGAAGGCATGTCGCGGAGGGGTAGGAGTCTGAGAGCAGTTGTAAGAGGTGTTAGCAGTGGCAATGTTGTAGGCTAGCGTTGTAATGACTTGCAAATGATCCGATGCAGCAAGCGGGGCAGCATCGTCAACAGAGCGTACAGAGAGGGGGCGGTTCGTAGCAAGCAAGTCCAGACAGGACAGTCTTCCATTCGGAGCGACACGGGTGGGGAAATTGACAAGCTGCTGGAGGCCAAAGCTAGAGAACACGTGTGATAGCTCCGTACCAGCACGCGATGTGGTGTCACCACTCCACCAGTCAGAATTGTGGGCATTGTAGTCACCGGTAAGAAAAACATCAAATAAAGAGAGGTCCAAGGAACACAGCGTGTCGGTAAGTATGTCGCAAAAGGAGGTGATATCAAGAAGGGATTGTGAAGGGGGGCGGTAATGACAGCAAATGAGTAGCGGATTGGCCCGGAGACCTGCCGGTGCACCAAGCTCAAGCCATAAGGCCTCGCTTTGGGGAGAATCAAGGTCATGGCGACGGGTGCAATGTGGAAATGTCCCATCACGTATGAGAATGGCCACGCCACCATAGCCACGTAGGTTTGATCTCAGGTTCTTATGTGTAGATCTGTCTTTACGGAAGCATGTGTAGCCTGGAACACTGAATAAAAGTGACGGGCTTAGCCAGGTTTATTATGGTGGGCTTGTTGGCATGACATATTGCGTACAAATCCGGAAGTTTGTTTGTTACAGAGCGACAGTTGATAGTTACAATGTTAATGGAATGTGCGTGGTCCGGGAAAAACGGGAAAGCATGAGCGCTCAACGGGGTGAAGCCCGACGTTAGTTTGTGGTAGGGGGCGTCGTGGAGCTGCTGTTGATTAGGAGTTTTAGTAGTTTGTCGTCCAGAATCAGGAAGGAATGGTGGTGCAAGTGGAATATGACCACTAGATATAGAAGAATATGTAACGCAATGAGGGGAAGGGTGTGATGAACTTGCGTGGGGCACAAAGGGTTGGGCAAGAGGATTTAGCTGTTGGCTAGGTGACGGAGGACCCATCACTTGCTAGCGGAGTCGGCATAGCGCCATTTGCGGACGGTGTGCGCAATGGTGTCGGGCCAGAATTCCTTGTCAAGCAGCGTTTGCTCAAACTCTTCCGCGACAGAAACGCGTGCATAGCAGGTACCAAAGTATTGGGTTTCGGCAATTGTGCATGCGTATACATCAACGCCCCTATCAGCGCACCAGGTGACAATTGACTGTGCCTTACTTCCAGGGCTAACATTCCCGACAAAGAAGGCACATCGCTTGGGAAGATGTGTGCCAGTGAGTGTGTTGGGGTTGGGGTTTTCTGTGGCCATTTTTCTGTAGACAGACACAACTTTGGATTTTGTTGCCTGGGCAATGGGATCGCTGTGGGCCGCTGATTTATTGCTCCTTCGCCGCTGTTCTTGCCAGTTGTTCTGATGGGGATCGCCTTCTGTGCTCCCAGCAGCACCCTGAGTACATGTGGGCTGTACTGGTGCACCACCGGCGCCTGCTGTTGTAAGTGCGCCCCCAGTTGTTGCATTTCTACCAGTGTGTACGGGTATGTTCCTGCGTTCCATGTGGTTGGTGTTAGGTACGGTGGCCCTGCTAGTGCTAGTTGACCTGCTGTGTAGAGTGCGTGCATCCTCTTCTGGCTGTGTGCTATTCGTACTCACTGTACGAGTACAACGGGATTGCATGTCTGGAGTGTCGCAGTGTACGGGCTTGGATGAACCATTGTACTGCTGCTGGTGAAGCTGTTGCACTTCCCCCTTCAGCTCCGAAATTTCCAGCTTCAAGGACAAAATTATGCTATCCCTGTCCTCCCTCATGGAGGCAATCTCCCCCGCCAAGGCCTGGATAGTGTTAGCAAGGCTATCTAGCTTAGAGTCATTAATCCACGACGTACCGGTGTCAGTGACGGGCTTCCCTCCAACGCCGTGCTTCCGCAGTGCCTGCACCAGCTCTGGCCGGGCGAGGCTCGAAGGGGAGTCCAGGGACTTGCGTTCAGCGATGGCGATTAGTTCCTGGTACCCGATCAGGGCAAGATCAAGGTTCTGGTCCAGGGACATACTTAGTTTCAGCAAGGGCAAAGGTAGAAGGGTAAAACTGCTGCGGGGGGCTCCCGGAAAGCTGTTCCGAGGAGCACCAAAAACGTCAACCACCCCCTGAGATTCAAAAAAATAACATATAGATGAGTCTCGCGAGCGCGACAGGCTAGCCGCTTGCGACAAAAGTTGTCTTTTTTTTACGAATTCTGTGACGTCATGTTTTGGAAGAATGTCCCAACAGTCATTCGCGTATCACTTCGGTGATCCAAATGCGAATGCAGCCTTGCCGGTCGCCCGCCGGCCTGCCGCCTACGCGACCAGCCTGAGACTGGCCCTGCCGCATTTGGCGCTTCTAAACGCTGCGATCCGGTAGACAGCTCACTGGGCTGCCAAATACGTGACTGGCTTGAGGACAGTTCCATACTGGGCAGGGCGCCCAGCTCAGGTCGCACGCCGTAGCGGCGTGAGCTGGGCGCGGTGAGGGTTGGTGATAACTACAGTTTCCTCCTTCCTCCTCCGGAAACTTCCATTTTTCTGCAAATACTTCCGCAAGCGGCAATCGAGCGGG